CTTAGGAAGCATTCGAAAAAAATATATATTAATATAGAAAAATAATTGAAAAATATATAATATTTTTTTGTAGTGTCGTCTAATTAGATTGGACTTAAAGCAATAATCTCCTTATCGTTTTTTCTTTAATGTCCAGCTTAGCGGATCTTGCCATTGAGAATGAAAGAGAATAGATAATAGCGTTGTACTAGGAAGTCACATAATTCTTCTCTTAAGCTCCATTGTTCAACGAGTCCGATGACTATATGTCCTTCCCGTGAAATAAAAGAGTATTTCTTGCAGTTTCGTGAAAAGAAACCGAGCTCTCTTGATTAAGGAACAAAGCAATGTAATGTTGATTTTACGATACTTTATTGCGTGTAACTCTCCATTACACTACCTCCAATAAAATAAGACTTGCAGTCGATCTTTTAGCTCTGGCGATCATGGACACACATTCTTTACTTTATAGTGTCCTTCGTGATAAGCCAGAAGTGGAAAACGCCTGAGGTAAAGTGGTAATTTTTCAAGATTCTCTTCGTGGTGAAGTATTGAGAAACTGTCAGTATAAATGTGGAATAATACTCATCAAAGGAGAAAGAAAATCTGATAATGTAGGTCAACAAATTTTCCTGCACAAAAATGTCAGAATTTTTTTCTGCTAATAGTGTCGCTACTTTTTGCGTTATTATACGTGTGATTTCTATTCTAAAAGATAAGGTGAATAAATGACTGTCAGAGATAGAGAGAGATCTGTTCCATAAAATATTTCCGTTCCTTTTTATGGTAGATGTTATGAACCAAAGGCACGCAAGAATATGTCAGTAATCTTTAGATTACTCGCCTATCATTCTTTAAGATCTAAATCTTATGGAAAAGAATCTGCATCTTCAACGTTGTTGAAGAAAATTTATTTTATTTCTTATTTTTTATATGAAAAATTACATAAAATGGAACAATATCTTCAAAAAGCATCTATCTAGAAGCTCTTTGTTCTATATAGGATTTCTACATTTCTAACAATAAGTTTTATGCACGTTCCGCGGCTGGAATCTACCTGGAAGCATCCCAATTTGCAGTTTTCTCTGCGCTTGAGCTGCATATAATAATGGAATGAGAATATCGAGAGACAACAGGATTTACTTATAAATATGTTATCTTCTGAAATAATAATAATAATATTAAAATAGACGCCGATCGAATTTTGCAATACATATTACATTTTACAAACATTTTAATAATAAAAGATTTTTAATTAGATATATATATATATATATATATATAATTTGAATATTATATATACATTTAATAAGATAAAAATATAATTAGGTAAATGTATAAAAATATATATAAATATGTATATATATTTTTATTTTATTAAAATAAACTTAATTATTTTATGAAATAAAATAAAAGCAAATAAATATATAATAATACGTATACGTGTATTTACCTTATTAAATAATATTATTATTAAAAAAATCTTTCCTCAATGGTAAAAGTCGACCAAACTGGGAATCATTTATTATAAATAATTAGTTAAACTACAACGTTTCGGCTGTCATTGCAGCTCTTTTCAAGTAGATCAAACGTAAATGCATAATAAATTAGTACAGTAAATCAAGAAGCGTTAGAGTGACTAAGATTCTTGCTAGCTGTTAACATCTATTTATTCCATGCTTACTACCGTCAATTCTACATTGTTCATTAAAACAATTGTAAATATTGTGGGTGGTATGCAGTGAACTTGATTTACTGTACTAATTTATTATGCATTTACGTTTGATCGACTTGAAAAGGGCTGCAATGACAGCCAAAACGTTGTAGTTCAACTAATTATTTATAATAAATGATTGCCAGTTTGTCGACTTTTACCATTGAGGAAAGATTTTTATTAATTGTTACTGACGAACTTTAAGGATTATTATTTGTATTATTATTAAATGATAATATTAATTAAATAATTTTATTAAATAACATTATTAAATTATATTATTATAACATTATTAAATTATATATATATATATATTAAAAATTTTTAAGAAAAATGTAGTGGAAAAAACTGCTACCACTTTATGCGGAGAAATATAGTATGATTGCTTATTTTATCGATCATTGATAGACAAGGAAGACAATTTGGCTTTGAAGCACTACAAGTATGTGTACTTGAAAGCCGACCTCGCTTTCTTTTCCTCTTGCTTTATTATCTATTATCTAATCTACTTATATACTAATCGATTTTACATAATGAAATTGAGCTAGTTTTAGCACGTAATAAATTTATCTAGCAGATTATTTTCAATCAAACATTCGAGTAGGCGCAATCAAAATTATATCATAATCGCAGCCTAGAAATAACACGGGACAAGAATAAAAGTATAATAATATTACGCTCATATATGTAAAAAAGCCAAAAGATAATTATAATTAATACGCATGTTGATCTCTCAAGTTTTTTATCACTCGCGTAACTATATTATTTCAAGGTCGTAATTTTTCTTTTTCTTTAAAGAAGACAACAAGTAACAAAAAACACGCCGCTACTTTGCGGCTCCATTAAATCTCGCGCTTCGCTTAAGCGTCGCGATTATCTCGTCTTCCGTTGTCACCTTCGCCCGATGGGAGAATAAAGCGTGAAATCCTGCGAGAAGATGAGAGAGAGGAGAATCTCCCAGATGTAATTACTCCCCCGCCCTTTCGTGTCATCGGTACAACTTTCTCACCCCTCATCCACTGTCTATCCGAGCTTTTAGCGGTAAACGAGTCTCTCCACTCTGAAATACGAGATACCCCTCGAGATTCGTCCAAGATTTTTTTTTTCCCCGGCAAGTGGCTGCTTATCGCAAAAGTCGAGAAGTCGGACCCGAGCGTTGACTCTTTCCACTGAAATTTATTTAGACATTCGCGGTACGCGAACTCTTAAGGGGATGCTGACCATAATTGTTTTACCGACTTTGAGTTCAAGAACTTTTCTTTTTATTGGCTATACAGATTAAAAAATTCTTCTCCACAATTAAAGTATTGATAATAATAAACGAGAGCGCTGTAATTTCGTATAAAAAAACAAGAAAGATTAAAGAATTAGTTTTTTATCGATCTCTTGCATCAGCTCATAACAATACTTATTTAATACAAAAGTTCTGCAGTTTATTTATGCACAAAGTATGGCGCTCCTAATAGAGATGACATGAAAGAATTTCATGCCATCAGTACTTTCATTGTGGGGAATTTTTCAATCTGTATATTCAATAAAAAGTGAACCTAACCTAACTTAAAGTCGGTAAAACAGAATAACGGCAGCATCCCCTTAAGGGCTCTTTACGACGCCGTTTAAGCATTCTTCAGGGATATGTATAGATCGTACGAAATGTCTTCCTCTCGCGTGCCATCGCGTTAATAAATTTATACCCCACGTATGATTATATATTAGTTGTCTTTATTATTCAGGCAGATGCAGCCGCGGTCGATACGTCCGTTTCTTTCATTATTAACGTGTTTGAAAAATATATTTCCGCGTAATTTTCAGGATGATTTCCAGGAGAATGACGAGAGAGTTTATGGGATAGAAACGATGATGAATAGCGCCCTTTAATCGCGCGTTATTCGGGTCTAATAAGCGTGCGGTAATGCGTGATTTATGTCACGCGGAGCTTAAGCGGATTTCGAAGTCGCTTTATCGGGAAAACACGGTTTCGGGAGATTTAACGCATCCGCGTTGAACTAGAATGCGATGTAACTGCATATGCAATCGGCGAAAGTGCAAACGAATGTCACAGTTCACTCCTCAATGGAACCGCGAACTGGAGAGGTATATTTGACAGATATACATATACAGGGTGTAACTAAACTTCTTTTACAATAACAGATTCTCCGGCTAATTTGGAGACGAATTTTCCCGGTGAACAAAAAAATCACTAAAATAATGTATTGAATTCTTGTATTGTAAATCATTTATTTGAAATTAAAAATATTTATTTGATATTAGAAAATTCTTTTAAAAATTATTTTCAAGATCCTTTCCAATAACAGATTTTTCGGCTAAATTGGAGATGAGTTTTTTCAATGAACAAAAAAATCACTGAAAAAAATGTATCTGAATTTATTTGAATTCGAATAAATATTTATTTCAATATTGCCTTGTAAATCATTTATATTTGAAATTAATAATATTGATTTAATATGAAAAAATATTTGTGATATAAGAAAATTTTTTTCAAGACAGATAAATATTTATTTGTTTCAAATAAATAATTTATAAGACAGTATTAAAATAAATATTTATTAATTTAATAGTTTTTCTCAATGTATGAATAATTTTCGAATTAATAAATAAATAATTTAAAAAGAAAAACGAACTAAACTTCCTGGAGGTAAAATAATTAACATAGTTAATTTTAGATAAAAAATTTACTTTAATAGAATTTTAATTTAAGACTTACAAAGAATAAATATATAAAATATAAAAAATTGCGGGAACTTTTGCAAAAAATGACTTGACATTTTCGCTGAGAAAAAATCATCTCCAAATTGGCCAGGAATATTCGTCATTGGAAATAAAATACAAAAGTTTAATCACACCCTGTATCTATATATGTGTATATAACTCATGGATTTTTGAATAATACATGAGAGAGAGAGAAGCATATTTTTTCAGCATCAGTAACTCTTTCTTTTTTACATTTCGAGCGAGATGCATGAATCGCTGTTTCTCATTTTTGTGTCTCGCGAAAACGCAACGCGACATTTTTCACAGTAAATTCGCCTGTCTAGGTAATAGATGCGTCTGCTTCTCTGAGAATATCTGTCATTGCATTATCTTCAGCTTTGCGGAATCGAAATTTTTCTTTCGGCGAGACAGCTGAATTGCGTTAAAGTAAAATTATTCTTTCTTTCTCAAGTATTTGATTAAGATCAAACTTCGCGCGTTTTGAAAAATGAATTTATAATGCGACTTTAATTATATAGCGTCATTTATATTTAATTAACAATTTTTATTCAACGTTCGTTTTATCGGATTATAGATTGTTACGGCAAAGAGTATCTCATTGTGGAGGGAAGCGATCGACCAAGACGACATGGGCATGTTACACCGAGCAAACGTCACGACCTTAATGGAAGCGGTAAGTATCTATCTTTTGCGTGTCTATATATGTATAATATATGAGGAGGTTAACGATAAAAGCGCGCGATATGTAAAAACTTAATTAAAATATAAAAATTTAATTAAAAAATTCCAATTACCGCTACATAATGTATTGGCATTTAATTCTGACGGCTGGCGGATGGTTAACGAGACCCGTGAAATTTCTCGATATACTTTCGCTTAACAGATAACGTGACAAAGATCGAGGTGGAGCTCAGGGAGGCACCGGACGCTGTCGTCGTCGGATCCATGTCATCGGAATTGGAAGCTGCCATCGAACTCAATTCAACCTTTCCCGACGGTGAGAGAGTTTAATATTATCCCTTTCGTATAACACAAGACAGAAGAAGAGACTGGCAACCCTTGTTTATTTCTGACCTTATCGTGTTTCATGATGTTCTCCATCCAATCTTGTTAAGCAAGAGATACCGAGGCGTTTTTGCCTTCAACTCTTCTTTCTTAAAAAACGTAATGAAAATTAACTGCAGAGACCTGGTTTATAAAGTTCCACATTTTTTATTTTTGTTCTTTTTCATTTCTTTTTACTTGCAATTGAAAAATTTGTGTTCAAATTAACAGATATCATATGTCCCAAACGATCCACAGAAATTTTTGTGTTAATCTAACACGATATGGATATGTTAAATGGAGATACAAATACTGTGTTAATGTTTTACACAAAATAAATTTTGTGTAAAATTGACATAGTTTTAATGAAAACTAAAATATGTTAATTTTAGATATTATTATCCTCACTTATATTATAAAATGAAAAAATCGACATTTTATTCTGCAAATTTTAACAGCCAAATCTTGTCACTAATATAAAACAAAACATATTTATTGTGTAAAATTGAAAATAGACGCACATTATATTATTTTTATACATCTTTTTTCAGTTTAATAATTTAACATTTAAATTCAAGTAACACAACAGCAATATGTTAAATTAACACATGAATGTGTTAAATATTTAACGCCAAATTTTTAATGAGGACCGTTTTTAACAAGAAAACAATTTTTCTACTGTGCAACCGAGAGACCTGATTTTATGCTTCATAAATAGAATTATTCCATTTATATGAAATGAGAAAACTAAAATATTTGTTATATACGATCGTTCTTCAAATATAGATGAAGTTTGGATTATCCTTGCGGGCATCACGATTTTCTTGAACAAAAAGTATCCTTGAACAAGGAGAAACACGACTGGGGAGAAAAAAATGACCAAAAGTTTGATGAGTTCTCTGAAACATTGATCGCGCATATACGATGTTTCAATTTTCAAGGTTCCCGCGAGAACAGATTCATTTTTTCGTCTTTTTTCATCGTGAATTTTTGACGCGTCTTTTGATGATTCTCTCCCGCCTTCATATCATCGTGATAAACGAGAAGAAATGACCCGTGGGATAACTGTGTTTACTCTTCCAGTTTTCACTTGACGTGTCGATTCAATTTCACCTTCATCAATCAGCGGAAATGTTATTCAGAATACGGTTGATTTCACATATCCCGTCAAAATCCCGCGAAAACTTTGCGCTTACGCAAATACCAGAGTTTAATGCGGTTCAAAGCGCAAACATATGTGTTATATGTGTGACAAATAATTTATTATTACGAAACGAACACATTTCTCAATTTCTGCTATAAGCATCGAATTGTTAAGTCCATGCAGTTTCATCACATTTATATTAAAGTAATCAACGAATGTATTTATGAGTGGATATTCCAGAGAAAACGTGTTGCTGATGGAAGATCGATTGCACAATCAATCTTTAAGAATGTGAAAAAGTAAAAATGTTTCGTTTTCTCGATATGTTATCGATGCAATCAGAGATGTGCGTTATTTGAAATAGATGCATATATAAAATGCAAAATGCCAATTTTGTATTTTGAATTTAAAATATTATTTTACATTTATACATTTAAACGGCTTTTATTACTCATTTTTTATTTCAAATGCACTTTTTTTACAAACTAAACATTAATTGAGATATCAATAATATATGTATGTATAACAATCAACAAGTTATTAAAGAAGTCATTAAGTAAATATCTGTAAACAATAATTAATCAATAATATTTTTTTATAATTCTACATGTAAATACATTTATATAATTTTTTATTTATATTAAAAATGTACAAAGTTTATATAGAGTTTATAAAGCTCAAAGAGTGTAAAGAATGTTTATAAAGAAAGATTATAAAGAAAATTTATAAAAAGTTTATAAAAATTTAATAAAGAAATATTCAATATAAATAATAATTGTAAAAAGTAAATAATAAAAAATAAGAATTTAAATATATACATATGTATAAATAATATTTGAAAAAATAATTTTTATTTAAAAAACCCATTTAAAAAATGGCTAACTTTTATTTCCTATTTTAAATGGGTGTCTAAGAAGCATTTTGCATTTTATATATTTAAATGGAAAGCTTGCGTATCCCTGGATGCTATAATATTGAAAAGTGAACAGAGAGAGTATCAGAAAATTTTTGCATAATGTAACATGTAATGTTTTCAAAGTTACCTTAATCAAGTTAAAGAAAATTTATAAAAAGTTTATAAAAATTCAATAAAAAAATACTCAATATAAATAATAATTGTAAGAAGTAAATAATAAAAAATAAAAATTTAAATATACACGTATAAATAATATTTGAAAAAGTAATTTTTATTAAAAAAAAAACATTTTAAGAATAACTAATTTTTATTTCCTATTTAATGGGTTTCTAAGAAGCATTTCGCATTTTATATATTCACATGGAAAGCATGTCCATCCCTGGACGCTATAATATTGTAAAGTGCTGAACAGCAAGAGTATCAAAGCATTTTAACATAATGTAATGTAACATGTAATGTTTTCAAAGTTACCTTAATCAAGTTTCAAATTTTTTATGCAAAGTGTAAGGTGTATGAAGAATCTTGTTCCGCTCGAGAGACGAGAGGAGAGATTTCAAGTAGCGCATAAATTATGTATAGAGAATGTCGCCTTGAGAAAAAAAGCTGTGTATACTCCACGGTTTCCATCAAGAACGAGTATTATTCCAAGCGTTGCATAATGGAATCTGTCATCCTCCCTTGGTTCCGATTCTCTACATGATGTCGCACCCGCGAGCTCTTTCTCGCTTCGAAAGGCTCGATCCCGGATAGGGAGGACGAATATCAATTTATCAGTTCGATTGTTTGCCGTGCTCGAGCGTACTGTGAAATCGTTAGACGGCATTGAAGGGTCGCCAACAAAGCTTCACATATGACCGAGCATCGAATTGTGTGCCGGCGCTCCTGCGCGCGCGATACATATTTCTTGGGTTTATTTTCTCCGATACCTCTATATACAGTCGGTCTCTGGCACGTTCGTGCAGTTGGCTCGTAGATCATGGGACAGCATATGAAAAATTAGGTCACGTTATATCGCGATTATCGGCTTGACTTTAAAGTCGACGTTTTATCGTAAATGTTTGCCTACACTTGCTTTAATACTACTTACTAATATTTTTTTTTTAATGCGAAGAACGCAACGTCCAGATAATCGTCCTTTTAAGCAGAAATATAAAAAAAATATCAGATTAATTTTTTGCTGCATCATTATAAATATAAATATATGTATATACTTTTGTCGTGTTATCATGAATCATTTTTTGGATCAATAAAGTTTATTATTTGATTTAACTTTTATTAAGGTGATTATTTTATGATTAAAATTTATTGAAGGCAATTGTAGGTAGAAATTAGCATTTTTTATGCCACTTCTGTTTACTGATAAAATCAAATTTTTTGATAAAATTTATTATATTGTCGCTATTGTTGATTTTTGTATCACAATAATTTAGATCATTTGCGTAATGATGTACGTCGTTTGCGTAATGATGAGTATTCAAGAAAATTATTCATTTCTAATAAAAATAAAATAAAACATTACAAAAATGTTTCATTTTATTCGAAGAAATACTATTTACAAATTAGGCAACTTAATTAGAATTTTAATATTCTGAATAATATTCTGAAAACTAGACGTTGTAATATTTTTGACACCTTTTCTATCTTAATTAATTCACATTTTTTTTTAAATAAAAAAGGCGGTTTTTATGTCACTTTTTGTAAAGATCTATCAATTATTTTATACTAAAAATTTATCGAAATTCAAATAAATATATATTTTAATACTCTTTTTTACATCATTTATTTGAAACTAAGAATATTGATTTGATATGAAAGAAATATTTACATGATGTAAGAAATCCTTTTCAAAACAGACAAAATATTTGTTTCAATAATTTTTTCCTGTGTAGGTAATGATAAAAAGTAAATTTAATTGAGTTGATAAAATAATTGAATTCTAAAATAAATTATAAAGAATTTTAATTTGATAAATAAATTAATTTAATAAATAACTGATTTAAAAATTAATTCTAAAATAAATTAAATATCATTAATTTGATAAATAGTTGATTTGATAAATAACCGATTTGAAAAAGTAATTCTAAAATGAGTTAAAAATAATTTTAATTAAAATTATTGTAAATTGCGAGTTAATGAAATAATTAAATTCTAAAATGAATTAAAAATAATTTTAATTTGATAAATAAATTGATTTAAAAAATAAACTTAAAACACGTTTATTTGAAACTTCATTAAGATGTTAATATTAATTTGACATGAAAACATATTTACATGTTGTAAGAAATCTCGATTATGTCAAAGGATTATTGAAATAAATATTTATTCGATGTCAATAACTCTTTCCAGCGTAGATAATGACAAAAAGTGACATTTAATCGGGATATTGCACGTACATATGCACAGGAACAGGTGCGGTAGTGGTGCGTGCCGAGGAGGCCCTAATTGTCATCCTCGTCCTGGTTCTGTGGGTGGCTGCGATCGCTCTATTCTTTAATCGATGGGGCAAAATCCGCATGCTCGAGCCGTATCAGCCGAAATTTCAGCAACAGCACAGACAAAGCTGCAGCATCGTCGACCCAAATCCTCTTCAGGTAAGTGCGCTTTTGCGTGCTCGCTGATCTGTCTCTCCCTCTTATTCCGCATGAATGGTCAGTATGCGGAATGTCTGTATATACACAAACAGTCGGTCGAAGTGCGCGTTGCATTGTCAGATTAGCATAATATGACCTGAGATATATACAGATATACAGAGCCTCTGCCAGTGTATCAGACATGGACATGTTTGTAGCTAGATATCAGGATGATATTAATGGATGAGCACGCGAGAATGAAGTTGTTTTCATTTAAATGCGCGTCTGGCAATTTGAATTATATTTAAGTTACTTTTAAGTTACCTTTTTTTAATAATTAAGTTACTTTTAAGTTACCTTTTTTAATAATTAAGTTACTTAAGGGAATCCTAAACGTCCTTGAGAAGTCTGTTGATTTTTCCTGTTTTATCAACAAAATGTGAGATTAGATAAACCATAAATCTACTTATTGACTATTCGGATTATTATTTGCCTGAAATTAGAGCGCTTCGCCCTTTGTTAACATTAATACTTTAGAAGTTGTAGAAATTTATTGACCAGACTAGCAAGTAAATTATTTATTCAGCTTTACGACGTTTGGACCATGTGGTCCTTATCAAGTGAAATAGTGTTTTAACAGTGTTTTGAAGCTGAATAAATAATTTACTTGCTAGTCTGGTCGATTAATTTCTACAACCTCTATTTAAATACTAGTGACTGTTATTAATAATTTTGGGAATTTATTAATACTTTAATTTGTACAGGAAAAAGACAATTCTAAGCATTCATAATTCTATAATCAAAATATATGAGACTTATACAGATTGATAAATATTTTTCTTATGTACAAATTAAAGTGTTAATATTAACAAAGGGCGAAGCGCTCTAATTTTAGGTATAAAACGATTTGTATAGCCAATAAATAAATTTATTTTACCTCATTTTGTCTATAAAACAGGAAAAAACAACAACTTCTTAAGGACATTTAGGATCCCCTTAATAGGCTGCTTCGATAAATATCGCGATATTAATTAATAAAGTAGAATTTACTTTAGCAAGAAGGTTTCTATACAGTCCTCTCTTGAATACTCATATCAACTGCCACTTCACGCGTTCAATATACATATTATATACCTTTTATATACAGTTTTATTATGAATTATTAAATTTAATTAATTTAATCGAGTGTGTGTTTATAAAACTTTTATACGACACGGCAAATCACGCGACGCATTTTGCGAAGTAAATTTTGCAATTAGTATGATGGAGATTAAAGTTACCGATGTATAGGTAACCAGCACTCTGATTATTTCCCATTTAATTATCAAAATAGCTACTTGCACATTGCTGGAAGGCAAACCAGGGTTAAACCACTACTGTTAGAGGAGATTCGCAAACTCTGCGAGAGACCAACATGGAATAGCAAATCTATCCGGTATCTATCCGAAACAGTTACATATACCGAGTGCTCCGAAATAATGTATCGATATAATTTGACAGTAGATATAACGCGGATATACCGAGTCGTTTGACAGGATTAATTTTTTTAGAGGATGAGAAGTCTCGCGCTAGCGATCTTTCGTCCAATTTGTTAAGAATAGAACACATTCTCTCTCCAGGTGAGGTTTACAACCTAATATGCATATACGATGTTCTCTGTATATCGGCATAAGCAAGCAATAGCTCGGACGTGACACTACAAACGCCTGGAATAACGCGTTTTCTATGCACCAGGTCACGTAGATGATAAACCTTGGTCGGCTCGATGCAGACGAGCATAAATTCACTCGTATCTTTTTTATGGAACTCTTATGGCGATGCTATGTCAAGCTAGAGATCGTGCAATCTTTATAAAATCCGGGATTGTCGCGAAACGGTGCGTGCAAATTTTTTGCGCCATAAGAGGAGACAAGCCAATTTTATTATTAAATTAAAATTATGTTCACGTCACAGAAATTCAAGAATTAAAATTATACATAATGAAAATTCGGGAATGAAAATTATGTACATAATAGAAATTCGGGGAAATTAAAATTATGTACATAATAGAAATTCGGCGAATTAAAATTATATACACTTGCAGACTAAAAGATTGTCCGCTGAAATGTGAATTTCGGCAATAGAAAATAAAAATATAATATCAATAGCGCTTACGTTGTACGCAGGATTATTAAAAAAATAGAAAGAACGAAATTCGAAACTGATTCTTCTTCGCAAAATGTCAAATGTTTATCTCCAAAAAATATTAGTTTTTCTTTTTAAACGAGCGCTGAGTGAATCACTACGCATTGCAAAGGCATACTTTGTATACGTCAGCAGTGACCCTTTGATGAAATTGGATGCAGATGCAATAATTCAAATTCGGAATCACTAATTCTCGCACGCGCGCCTTTGATCGCGTATTTTGGAAAATTCCCGAATCTTTTTGTAGTATTGTTTTTTTAGCGAACCGAGCCAAACTACATTTCTGTCGATTGATTTATTGGAAGATCGGCAAAATAAGCAAGGATTTAATGTTCCGTGTATTTTCTGTGAAATATTCTTCAATATTGTTCTTTTCCTTCTGATCTTTTCTTGCGATCGCAGATAACACATGTTTCATAACGTCGTTCAATTTCGTTCAAATATCTATTGGTGTTTTATTAATTCCATTTTCCAAGGAATTGAAGATATTAATATAAACTTTGTTTTAAATTTGATCGAGAATAAAGAATCTTTTTATATTATGTAATAATACAAACTTTTTAAATTATTGTAAAAGGAGCAAAAGAAGAACAACTATTTAAATAAAACCTAGTTAAATTCTTATAAAATATATATAATACATTCTTTAAAATTTTATTGTCCAGCATTTTCACTAAAAGAATTTTTAATAATAACAGATATACATCGATAGTTATAAAAACTTCAAAACTTCAAGTGTAAATATTGTATAAACGACGTTTATTTTTGTTGTGGTCAATAAATATTAGAAACTCTCTTAATGGAAATTATTTTGATATCTTTTATATACATTTGCTGAAATAAAGAAATAAATAGTCTTTTGCAATAAACCTAATAATTCGTTACAAAAATAAAAATTTTGTTTACTACATTTTTATTTATTACATTTGAAAGAGCTCTTTACTCGATAAAATTTAAATCGACATTTTTCTTTTCCTTTTTTTTGTATATATGATAAATTTTCATTATGTTAATTTTATTATTTTAATTTTAAGTCAACCGGTTTTTAATATGTAAAATTATTTTAACGATTTATTTGGCTCAAATTTGCCCTTTATTATTGTATTAAATCGATATTTTCCACAGTTTCTTGGAAAATGATAACGAAATTAATGAAATCTCTTATATATTTTATAATTTTGTTGTATAAAGGATAATAACGCGCAATATGGATCAATTTACTATTGAAAGCGCCCTGGGATTACTTGATCTTCGATCAGCTACGTTGCTACTTGATAACAGCATAATTGATATCCGCGTTTGACAGATTATTCATAAGCACGAATCTCCGGATCGGTCCGCTTCGATTTTGCTTGGAAATCTATGGTTTCAAAGCAAACATATACAGTGCATACACAAAGTTGTCTATACTAACATTGCCCATCAGAAATATTATTTCTATAATTTTAAATAGAAAAAAATTTAAACCAGTGAGTTTTACGGTTTCGATTGTCATACGGTGGGCGAAAGTTTCATTGTGCATAAAAAGAGATTTGAGAATCCAATTTAAAAAACAAATTAAAATAACAATTTTTTACAATGGAATTCTATAGAACGAAAAAATTTTGAGAAATAAAAAGAGTGTTAAAATACATATGTATATTTCAAAACTAATATTTTTTCAAGAATATCCAACCTTTATTTTTTCTAGCCACTATGCTTTTAATTTGCCCGACAATTGCGTATTCAATCGACAAAGTCAACGCGTGAAATGCTCTTAATGACATTTATCTTGATAGGTGAATAGAGCGTGAAGGATCAATTTTGTGGCTACTTTATCTTTCGTGGTCCGATCTAATTCCACTTGACTTTTTCTCTCTAGAGAACATTAAAAAAACATGGTATATCAAGAAGACTATCGGACTATCTCGAAAAATATGAGGTAATGAATTATGACATAAGTATACGTTGCAATAATAAAATAATAATAACGTGCACTTTGATTCAAAGATTGCAATGCTATATCGATGCAAATGCATCATTAAAAACATTTTATCATGCGTACATAGAATTTCATTGAATACATTAAAATAAATTTAATATTAAAAAAATTTTTTTTATTAATATTTTTTTCTTTTAGAATTTGTTCCACAGAATTATCAAAAGCTGTCATTTTATTAAAAAAATAAAAATAAAAAAGAAAAAAAAAACTGACGTATTTCGAAATCGCAAAATCGTCTAGCTTCAATTTTTTTCATTGTTATAAAATAGCAGGAATATTTCGGCTGGACAGAGTTAGTGAATTCCTTTTTGTATAATAAATATATATCATAATAAAATATATTTAGTCATAGAAGACTAATGAATAGAATTTTAATTAATTCGCGAATCGTAATTTATTTAGACCCGAATTAATTTAAACTTACAATTTCTTTGCGGATTTTAGGTGACGCACAGTACAAACGTGCAGTTTTTTCAGACAATAAATTTTAATGTCGGATGTATATCTGTACGTTCTATTATTTATACGACGCGGTTTAGTGAAAATGTTTCGCGAGCGAACAATACATCGCGTCTGGAATCGGCTTTTTAAGCGCGTAGGATGCGCCGAACATTTTCGTATTGACATTGGATTTACCTGTACAAAATGGAATATACAATCGCGCAACGTGAACGGAAAACGTCCAACAAAATGGATGCTCGACGAGATTTATGGGAACTCGATCACCCCGTTGTTGCATGCGTCGATTACAAACTCGTTGCGGCGTCATCAATTTGTTCTGCGCGCGTATAAGATTTATTTCCCTGATAAAAAACATTTACATTCCATTTTTTATCGCGTCAATTTTAATTGTAGC